TAGGATTAATATGTAAATGTTGTGTAGTATAATACATTATGTTAATACCGTCTTGTTTAATTAATATGCCTACACACGACATGACTGATTTGGTTAGGGATATAATTGATCAGATTATTAAAATAGATTTTTTTTTTTGTGTGTGTGTGGTGATTTTGGGTGTTGTTTTGAATTTACTTTCCTTTTATCGTAATAGATTCGATTCTGGGACTGTGTTAAACTGAAATCCTCTTTTATTTACTTCAGTCAGAAGCTTTTTAATCACATCTACGGGATCAGAATTCTAGCTGTCTGAACAAGGCCTTCAGGGTCCATGTTTTTTCCTTAAATGGGTGTGTTCACTCCGCTCTAAACGTCATCCCTGCCACCGGCCAGGAGTTTTAGATTCTCGGATCTCTCTGTTTTTGCCCGCATCGAATTGCACGCGAGGGACTGAAGTGTGGAATCCATGTCCCACACCGGGGATGAGGACGACGGAAAATTGATATAGCGCCACGTATTAACATATTCAATAGCACCGTTTGTCTATAGTCCAAACGTGTGCTTTATCTTCATCGAATGCGAAATTTGTATTCAGAATGGCCCAAGGTTCTCGGGTGGAGTCAAGGGAAATTTTCAGACAGAATGGATTACATGATATGTCACCGGTCTTTGGACCCGTGGCATAAGTAGGTCGTAAATGCAGGGGGGTGTTTCACAAAGATCCAAAGTCGAACTTAACTCTAAGTTGGATTTAAATATTATGGATAGCCATTTGTAGCCTTAAAATAAAATATGTTCAAAGCGAAAATTCAAGTATTTTAGACTTTTTATAAATTCCAGATCAAGAACATGAAATCTCCTTGACAATAGAAAATTATGATTGATTTGATTATACCTCTTAAAAAAACTTTTACAAAACATTTTCAAAGATGCTAACGGCTTTCCATAATTTTTAAGTCCAACTTAGAGATAAGTTCATCTTAGGATCTTTGTGAAACACCCCCCAGGTTGGCTTGAAATATCAGGTTTTCTTTCAGGCACAAAATCCGATGGTATGATGATAATTGGTAGAATAAAGAGACGATGTAAAATTAATGAAAGAAAATTGGGGTTCTGTTTACAAAAATATATTTTGATTAATATTAAGTAATTTGAGTTGAGATTTGGAAATCTCTTACCACTTCATAATCATTTTAAAGTGTCTGTCAAATTTAAAGTGACTCTCACACTCTGCCGTGTAGGCCTACCGTGTGCCACCGTGCGCGAAAATGTCTGCGGACGGTGGAGAACGGCGAGGGCACACGGTGGTTCGTTATCAAAGCGGGCAACACGTTAATAGGGCGTTGGCGCTTATTTACACCCGGTGGGACCCGGCGAAAGTTGTGGGCATGTTCAAAACTTTGGCCGGCTGGCACCGGCCGCAAGTAAGCGGCAAGAGGACGGTGTTGAACGGTATGAGGACGGTATGAATACGTTATGAAATCGGTCACACTGTATGAACACGTTCACAACACGCTCATAACCCGTTACAGAACGGTGATGAACGGGCAAAAAAAATTCCAACGTCTGCAACAGGTTGTAAGCGGGTTGTGAACGTTGCCGTTCGAATCGGGGTATTTATGGCAGTCGTGTCATGACGTCAGCAGTCCGGGGACTCGCTCACAGGACGCTCCGAGCGGTGAGGGGACGCTAAGTGACTGGTAGGTGGCTGCTACAAACCCGGTGCACACGTTCGAGACCCGGTATGGAAACGGCCAAAATTTTCAACAAAAGTCAATCTGGGCGGTGAAGACGGTAGAAGCACGTTCAACACCCGGTATGCGCCCGGTGAGAACGGTCAGAAGATGGCAACGAAACGATGAAAAGATTAATTTTATGATTTATTTTTTTGCGGCCGGGGACAAGTTCGCTCAAAACCCAACGTTCTGGACTCTGTTCTGTTTTTAATAGCCCGGCAGGTGGACGGTAGGCCTACACGGCAGAGTGTAAGAGCTCCATTATGAAGGGATTTTATGTAGTTTCTTAAACGTTCAGAAATACGGCTACAAAGTCTTCGTCATGCTTGACATTCCATTGCACATTGCAATTAGAAGAATTTCAAAGTTCCAATGTAGGTACAATTTATCTTAAAGTCACTATGTTTGACATAGTATTTATAAGCCGTTTTTCTTCTGTAGCTTAGAGTATACACGGAGAAAAAAATGATGAACTGTGAACTCTAGCCTCAGAACATTAATTTACAAAAATGCACGGAACCAGATATGAAGCATTTTAATTACTTTTGGATAATCAAAAGACTTGGGCAGCGTCGTAATACATCGGCACACCAACGAAACCGGCACCATGAATACCGACACCAGACCAAACAAACAATGACATTATCCCGAATGGCAAAAAAATCCGGGGCGTCTCACACTTGTTATCAGTGACAAATGACAGTTGTTGTTATAATCTACTGAAATCTTTGCTTCTGATTGGTTATCAGCAGATTTGTCACTGATTTTTGTCATATTTCCTTGAAAAAAAGGCTTTGTGAAATGGGCCCCGGCCAGGTCAGTTTGGTTTAGCTTTAGTGTCGGGGGTGGTGGTGCCGGCGGTGCACGTGCCTGAGGTATATTACAACTTTGCCGAAAACCCACTGCAGCGAGTGTATCAAATTTAACTCGCGTTGTAGTGAGATGTCGGTTAAATTGTAACCATGACTGTTTTATGAACGATGTCTAGATATATCAAATTTAGGATCCTCTATTAACTACCTTTCCATGATTTGCCCGTTTCTGTAAATAATTATCTGAATTTAAAATAAAATGTTTCGAGGAAAGCTTGTACTTTTTTCATAGATTTTATTCTATTTTCTACCTAGACGGTTTGCTCTATCTGCTCGAAATTTACGATCAGTAAAACATTAATGGGTAACTCCTTCTTTTCATAAATGTAAAGAAATATCTTTTACTTTTGAACAACTTGTTATGATAGATATATTCCTCTTGGCAGACGTTCAAGGGAGATTTTATGAAGTAAACAATAAAAATAGATAATACTATTTTCGTAATGTAATCAAATTTAATACATAAAGCTTTGTTAAGTACTCTGGTACAAATGATTTCATTCACCTGTTACCAATAATTGTATTTCAATATTCCGAGTGTTGCTAGGTAGGACAACCATTGTGGCCTTTACTACCTAACAACACGGAATGGATAAAATTCGCATTCTGGCTCTTGAAATACAATCATTCGTAATAGATGAATGAAATAATTTGTAAAGAGGCACTTAACAAAGATGCGTGCATTAAGTTTGATTCCATTACAAAAAGCCTTTTATAAGCGTTCAACTAGAGACGATCTATTGCATTTACCTGTTAAATATTATAGCGTGTCAATAGTGAGAATGTAAATTGTATATACTAGTTGTTGCTCTGTGGGACAAATATTACTGTATTTATGACACAATACTAGATTTTGCATTCTAAGTAGTGAAATACAATTATTCGTAACAGGTGAATAACATAAATCATTACTAGGCACTGAACAAAGAAGTTTGTAATATTTTTAATTTGGACAACGGCCTGTCCATGACACAAAACAGAGGGCAGCTTGCCTGTATACTGCAGGTCAGATTTAAGGAGTGGCCAGTATGTTTGCGATATATACAATGCTTTCAAATCCGATCTAATCATAAAAGCTCCCACTGAATCTTATTTTTTCTTGTTGATCTGCTGTTGAAAAGACTCTATATGCGGATGAAATCCCCCTCAGCGACAACGAGGCCTCTTCTGAATCAGCAATACACTTTCTTGTCACACAGAATCTCGTCAAAGATTGTCACGTGGTAATAAAATCGAATATATTATACTCGCTCTGAATTAAAAATAGGTTTCTGGCGTAGATTGCCGGATTCGGCGCATGCATGTATAAATGTAAATCATTACAAGAGTATTCGTGTTCTTATTCATTTTCCACTGGCTTTATTAACATATGATGCTATATCCTTCTTATTTACAATGCATCTGGACGAAATAAATGCTCTTCTTACGTGTACACAGTATTTACATGATTACCAAGTATACATTTGATCTTTATACATTTTAACCACACACTGAACACGTACCACTCAGCATTGATTAATAGATTCATCGAATCCTACAGTGGCATGGTTTAAGGATTTCAATCAATGCAATTGATTTTCTTTAAAAAATATATTCCATGCAAAGATGGAGTATTAGAAAGAAAGAGAGTGAAAAGGGGAGAGGGGTTAAGAAAAAGAGGTGGAGGAGAAGATAGAGAAAACGAGAAAAAAGAAGAAAATAGAGAAGCAAAAGACAAGAAGAAAAAGAGTAAAATATGATTGAGAACAACAAGAAATATTCATCCTGTATTCCCTCAGGTGACGATCGTGCAGCCGACTTCAATCCTGGGAGTTACATCAGCAACGTAAAATCTAGTTGTGAGATTATCATGTGGGCGTTTAAAAGCTGTAGAAACTCTACACCATGTATATTGGAAACCTTATCTCACGAATAGATGAATCGCAATTTTAACCAACAGTAACAAAAGTATAATGATAGGAAATCTGCTGAATCTACCCTTTCCAAGCGATTTTAATATGGTCCAGACTCAAAAGTTTTTTTTCTTTGATGATCTTGTAAACCCCTGACACACAAATGATTTAAATGTAGAACCATTTTTTTGTTGATTTAACGAGAATTCTTTTTTCTTTCTAGGGCATTTTTTTTTCAAGTGATTATAGCGGAAATCTCTCCCCGCATTTTAATAATTCACCGACACGAGAATAATTATCTACCCCGGGCTATACATGGCGTCTTAAATACAAATTAGTGTAATCAATCAGGATAATATCATGACATTCTTAATGCCCCTTAAAATGGAGGAGCAGAAAAGGAGACTAATCTCGAACGAATAAAAATATCAGGTTTGTCATACATGAGGGAGCTTCCAAGATGACTGCAATAATTCATAGCAGGCTTGTTTCCATTGCTCTCTGACCCCCATCAGTTCTGGCTGTGACATCGGAAATAAGCAAATCATCGATTATTTAGCCAGAGTTATGATGAGGGGGCGTTCCCCGCAAAGAAAAGAAAATATCACCAGTCCCCACTTTCCACCAAATTATGGCAAGAATTGGAAATATGTATATTTAAAAGAAGAAGGGGACGTGATCGCACTGCGCTGATTGCAATTTGACTTTAGTATTGCAGAACACAATTTATACCCTTTTACATATTGATACATTAGAAGTAACATCAGTATACGGGAAGAAAAATGAGACCGGCCGCAAGTTTTCGTCAAACAAAATCAATAAGGGTCCCAGGCGCTTTAATTACGAATATGGAGCAATGTATTGGTTTTTTCTCATAGGTAGACAGAACGGAATCTCCCCATTTAAATAATGCTTACATGGAAATGAAAATGTGGTCACAGAATCAAATCAAGTCATGAATTTATTGATGTTATTTAATTTGAAGAAAACAAATTGGAACCAAGGACTCCGCAATATACCGCAAACTAGTTAATCAATTAGTCGGTCTCACAAACATCTAATATAGTCATAGACGAATTAATTTAGAGAGAGAGAGAGAGAGAGATCTTTAAAGGTATTTAATAGTTTTCGTTGCATAAATTCTAATGCAAATCAAATAAATAATTTCGATTTTTGAAAGAAAGAAAAATAAACAAGCCACTATGATTTTGGTTACCAACTGGTATTAGAATACCTCGTTACGATAACTTTGGGAGGTATTTTTTTATATCTTGAATCAGTTTTAGAATGACTATATGATATGACTTAATTTAGTCAGTTTGATAATAGTATTTGTTCTTTAAGAAGGATTTGTCGATATAAAATGTATGAAAAGACTAGTTTCTCTCTTTTTCACTGGATGACTCAATAAATTCGTCCATCTCTAATCTTGAGCTCTGGTATGGGAATCGTATTTTGAGAAATAATTGCCATGATTTATTATGGATTGTTTATAGCAGTAGATTGGTTGTTTGAACCAGTGAAATAAAAAACAAACGCACCCACAAATGTACTGGTCATCATCTTCGATAAAAATCACAACTCCAATTTGCACAAAGAGTGACCTCGGGCCTACTTACCCGGATTTCCTTATTTTGTCTATGCTCATTACTCAGCCACTATACATTTTCTACCAAATTTCTTTGGCACATGTCATTTATTTGTAATCTTGAACATTCAGAGTAAGTTTCGTTGGACTCTGAGAGAATCTATTTACCAGAGCTCAAGTTTATCTTTGAATACTTCTTTTGTTACATTGTATTTCTGATCTAGTTTCAGTGGCATCGAAAGCCGCATCCGGGACGCATGGGGTAAAATTTGAAGAAAAAAAGGGATTATTTTCTTAAGATATTCACCTCAATAGAACTAGAAAGTACACTGGCATATTTCTGGACACAGCTTTTGAACCACCAACATTCGTTAACATGGTTATGCAACATATCTTGATTGGCATTGTAAAATTTAGACAATTGTGCATGACCACTCTTCGGACATCGTTATTTCATTAAAACAATCGGCCAATATCTTCCGAATATTATGCAGTAATCTCTCATTTCAACAATGTTCAACTTTCTAGTAGAAATAATGACAATATTGATAACGATTCTAGTAACATTGATGAGGATATTCTCATTAATAATATTTAAAAATGTACAGGAAGAGAATGGTACCCCCACCATGACATTAGAAAATGGATAAATCATCGTTAACATCGAGCTTTGAGACTGATCATATTCTACACGATGCCTCATCACAAAGAAAAGTTTTGAGACGTGTGCAGTTATCCAAACATATGTAGATTGAAAAACTTAGACAACGGAAATTTAGAAACAAAAACATGTGAGAAGTAGAATAATGAAATATCAGAAGTCTAGTCCAATTTTGCCCTAGTTGCTGTATCACCTCACTAACGTATGAAAGAAAACAAATTGTAATAAAATTCAGCAGCTACATCCAGACGGAGAACTACAAGATTTGAAGGGTTTTGTGAGGCTCTACTGGTCTTCTTGGTCGCTATACCGGCCGTGTGTGCTGAATAATGTACAGAACAACGACACCCAATTCAACTTTAGGCGGGTTTACAGGCACCTTCATCGTCGTTCACTTTAATCATTCACACCCCATCAGTATGCAAGACTTCACTTTAATATACTTCAACAAAAATCTTAACACGCAACGACAAGTCTTCAGTACGACGTGAGTCTGTGAACACCACGCAATTCTTGAGTTTGTAGGTGTTTCGTCAAAGACAGAGAGTTATCAACGTAAAATCTTCCCAGAGTGAGCAGCAGAGGACGAATCAGTCCGAATGCTAGAAAGCGAATCTCTTAATTTTGCACTCCATACCTTGCGATGTCCAAGAGTAGTGTCTTAGCGTTAGCATATGTTTTAACGTCCAGAGGAACTTCGCCGTTTCTCTTTCATTTAGGCACTTCAATTGCCTTGCTACTGGGAAGCAATTAGTAAGTCTGTTGACTCTCACAAGTTAGGTGTCTACGGAACGCGTGGTGTTTTTTCTCCAACTTTTAAAGACAGGAACTTTCTGTTTTTTCCCCTCTCTTTCCACATGTCTGAAGACAAATCGCTGAAGCTTTAACTTATCCTATTTGTTGTTATAAATACAAATATTCATTATTTCTTTACAGCACTTCGCGTGTGAAGTGTGAATGAATTGTCCGTCTCTCAAAGAATAATGGGTCCTTCAATCCTAATTATGAGTCAATTTTGAAAATGAACAGACGTTTGAGATTTCGGAAATAGTTTTCACAATTATATCATTAATGCTATTGCATAGCAAATGACTGTAAGCTTTAAGAGGATTATTTTCAAAGCAGGTACTTTCTCAAATCTATCGTAAAAACCATATTAAATAATTTGAAGTAAGCATAAAATGACTAACCGATATTATTTTTCCCATTTATCTAATTTACTCTGTCGATTCAAAGAATTCCACTGTATAAATTTTAAATTCTTTATCGGGGAAAAATGTCTTCTTAAATTCAAAATGGATTCATAAATGTCCAAATAATCAATGTAGAAAAAGGAAACAGTTTAAAACTCATTTCTTGAAATATTTTTTGTCATACATACTTTTAAACTTGATGGCGCATTTGGGGTTAAACAAATCAAATTCAGTTATGCTTCGACAACATCAAAAACATAATTACCTAATATCACCAACATTAGTCGAGGACTAATTGGTACCTGAATGTCTCATTAGACAGCTAACCAACAGGTTCAATAGCGCTTCGGGTTTTTCCCCTTTTTTTAACGATGCGATGAAGATAAGATATGATTTAAGCTGAAGGGGCCGTATTTCAGACACATGTTTCGTTGCCATTGGCCGCTGGGTTTCCTCCCAGGCTAGAATCGCTGTTGGACGCTTTCGTGATCGACGTAGCGTAGACAGAGCTGTGATTTCCAAGTTGCTTCTGTGGGTGTCGACTCCATCTCCTTTTTTTGCACCACTTTTTAAAAAACGCTTCCTCAAAAGCCGCGCGATATCGCGAATTAGCCATGTTGTAGATTATAGGATTAATGGCCGAGTTGCAATATACCATCATTCTAGCGATATTCAAGAAACGCTCGCTATTATTCATAGAATATGTACCTATGATTTTGTCCACAAAATTGATTAGCGATCCAAATTGGAACGGCGCCATGAGGATGAAGAAGATTATTCCGTTTGCGACGAGCATTCGCGACACTTGGTTTCGAATATCCACATTGCTCTGCAGGTCGAGATCGTGTCGCTCCATGGCTTTAAGACGTCGCTCCATCTCTCTCATAATACAAACATAAAGGATGCTGTTGATGACCATAACGACGAAGAACGGCACTGTCTGGATGATGTTGGTGTAGTATCTAATGCTAATATTGACTGCTGTATACTTCACGTACATTCTCTCCAGATAGGAATACTCATCGGGCCAGATATGACAAATGCTAATGGGTTTTAGTACGGACGGTATGGTCGAGGCCGCAAGGCTTACACTAATCAACCAAACTAAGCAAAGGAGGTTCGCGACTTTCCGATTGTTTGAACTCGCTGCGAACACTACCATTGGTCTACATACAGCATAAAAACGTTCAAATGCTACTAGCGTCACAAGTAATTCTGAAGAAAAAATGGTGGTGTAGACCAGGAGATGACTGATGATGACCATGATGGGTCCGTATGCAGAACCTTCGTCGTCCTTGAGTGGCGACTCGCAGTACTGCCAGAGTTTCTTGCCAATGGCACCAACTAGGAAGAGCATGTCTGCTACGGCTAAATGCACAAGGTACTGGTTCACTACCGTCCTCATTGACTGAATGCGCGCTACAACATACATAAATGCCAGATTGGTCACCAGCCCTAGCGTCAGGATCAAAGGAAGAATAAGGCAAATGAGCCATCGTTCATACCCAACATAGAGAAAATCATTAACATCGGAAGCGTTAACCCTGCGTAGGGAGTCGCATAGGTGAATGGGATCATAAGAGAAGTTTACGTTGAAGTAACCGTAGTCCTCCATTAAACTGTCAGGGAAATCGCTCTCCATTTTGATATTTCTCGCTCAAACAGTCAGTGAAAACAGTGATGCACGTTTCTTCGAGATGCAGAACGTGTGTCACCATGGAAACCCTATATTTAGGTTCTCTCACAGCATGAACTTGGCAGTGGTCTTGCACGCGCGATGCGTCCAAAAAATCACGTAATGTTGTTTCATAGTTCGTCTCACGATGTGCTTATACAATAAAATTTCTGGAAAAGAAATATTTTGTATACTTTCCGTTCAAAAAGTATACTTCAAGCGGCGTATTGTGGGTGAAAGTTTGTGCTTTCAACGTGCTGTCATAAGAATGAGATCCAGGAGAAAACTAGACAATCGAAGCATAAGTGCAGAGTTCGTAATGTGCATTTGCTACTACACATTAGTTTGTGTATGCTCTCTACGCCGATTGAAGATCCCTATCAAATGTGAGTCTTGGGGTGCATATTTCAAAACGTTCCAGTTTGTCAATGTTTGGAAAGGAATCCGGTAAGAGATTGAAGCTTGACTGAATAAGGGTATCGAATTTGAGGTGGTTCAATGTGGTTCTATCGGTATAACCGCGATATGACGAAAATCCACTCCTTGAATGGCGATGCTCTCTTAAAGACAAACTAACGAACATGTTTCAGTTAACATATGGTTCAGGGGTAATCGTGAAATTCACGTAAAAGTATGAAGCATCATGTACGAAATTTCATCTCGCTTGTAATGTATATCAGCCAAAAAACTGTTGTCAGATGCCCAGCATCACTTTCAATTACGACAAAAAATTGTCTTCTTTTTCGTCAGACCTTCCTGCTTACGACACGAGTGTCTAGTTTATACTCAGTTTGTTTAAAAAGACACATTTTCTCCTTCTTGAGTGGTTTCCCTAGAACAGATTTTGTAACGATACGTTACCGACACTTGATGTTTTGTTTATGGATGCAGTGCTTCAATCCATGTCACATCTTGAGTTTGGTTCAGGAGTTTAAAATAGGCGCATCAATATTCACTCTCGATCTTTCCTCATAGGCATGGTCTATATCACCGTGATCATATTTCGTAAAACCTTAAAGCAAGTCATCAATAGGAAAGAGTAGAGAAGTCCGGAGAACAACATCTTGAAAGGAGTGAAAATATCTGAACCGGCCGATTGACGACCCATTTATCTCTCCATCTCGCATAAAAACGTCCAATTAGCTGAGGATTGTTCCAATACCCGGTGGAGCGAGAGAAACAGCACAGTCAGGAGAAGTGTTAATTTCCCCAGCGCAGAGATATCAGTCTGGTAAGGATCTCTATCCCGGCAGCTAGCGATATATTGAGATCCACAATCACTCCACTTGGCTAGGCACGAGCTCCGGCCTGGGAACCCGCGAGAGTTTTCCCTTCTCCTCCAAAAGCGTCGTGTCCACTTACAAATTTTCGCTAAGTGCGTGGGAGACACGGGCAGACCGTTTGTGACGCCCTTGCTCTGACATGAACGCTCTGATAATCATACCGCGAATCGTCTGCATTTTATGGGACTGAAAACCAAAACGTTGCTGCCGAGAAGCGTTTCCCAAGCGCATGCGCTATATTTGATCCAATCAGTGCGACTCCTGCCCAACTAATCAGACAACGAACCGCTAGCTCCTCGTAGTCAGCCAACACAGAGTCCGTGATGCATTGCTTGAACGACGCGAACCACGATCTACTGCTGATGTTAAGAGTGTGTAATTAATTTGCTCTTGGCGTTTGTGTGTGAGTGCATTATCCATATTAACCCTATGGTATTGTTGCAGTGTGTGAGTCCCCTGTACTGTCTTGACCTTAGAACGAATTTTTCAGAGGTACTGCGACGGTATCATGTCATAACCGAGTTGCAGATATTTTTTAACGTAACTCAATGATGTAGCGAGTGAAAACAGGGAGGTCAGGTTGCATGTGGGAGAAGGAGATGGCGATGGCACTGTTGACACTTACTGTGTACCGGTTGCCTGTTGTTGACATGCGGTGCCTATGAGATCTAAATATACCAGGGGCTCTCGAAGAAGTCAATCAGTTAATCAGGTATACCTTAAAGAATAGACGAAAATCAAGACGAGGACAACCTCATCCTGGAGCGACTTCATCTTAGCTCAAAGTACGATGAATGCATTACATTAGTGCCCAAAATGTTAAAAGCGAATTGATGAGGGCAAAGGTAAATCCTGTAGAATGTACATTTCTTTAAAATGCTACAATTCCCTCCACATCCGACAAAATCTTTACCAGAACAAAAGACGTGGTACATAAGTCCTCTGCATGCAGCCAAGAAATGTATAGACAAATATTGATTGAAATAGAAAATAAAATGAATACATTAGCCTTTCATTTTTAACGGTATTTTGGGGACACCCAGGAAAGAAGAGACACACCATATTTAAAAAATATTTACATGAGTCAGACTTTTCTTAAAATTTACCTGGTATAAAACGAATGTTTATATAATGATTTCAATGTTATATCAAGAAGAATATATAGGATTTCAAACGGAATGTTGATTTCATATAATTTTCTAATATGCGAGTTTGTAGCACCCCCCCCCCCCCCGAAAGAGGGAAAATATTTTCACAATACCTATTACCTACCTGCATGTGTCGATACTTAAATGTTTAAACCAGAAGCTTAACATTTCCTTGAATGTTGAAGCTCGTCTTTCTATAAGCCATTTCATAGATACAATCTGCGCATGGACAGATAAAGGTCATTTGTACCATAAAGATAAAACCCACAGAGATGAATACTGGATATGCGCTCATGAAAGTTAATTACATTATCCATTTATGCACCAACGAACATTCTTTGATACGCAGGTGGAAGTCTTCTTTTCAAGAGGGCAAATAAACGGTATTGATGAAGCACATCTAGGACTTTGGCAGTTATTATTCTAAAATGCTCAAAGTGGAACTTCTCCATGTGTAAAAGATCTATGGATATTTGGGGTCATTTGTACCATGTGCTATCTGTAAACTCCCTTATTTCGTCAGTGTCTTACAGCTTACAGCTTACATTAGGGACTTTTAGATTTGCACGTCGACAGCTTTGACTGTAACGTGTGACGTCATTTTAAGGCACTGCGCATGCGTCACGTCGTCTCAGTCGGCGATCGAGAATGCGTCGACCTTGATTTTCCTTAATCTAGTACGGTACTAATATATGCCGCGTGTGCATATAATATACAATTACTCAGGTAGACAAAGGAATACCCCTTCCCTGCTATTATGTAAAAATGTGTAGAACAGATGTCACATGCATAATTACCTGTTCTACACATTTTTACATAATAGCAGTGAAGGGACGTTCTACCACAGCAATAGGCCAGTTTCGTAATGTAACCAAATTTAATGCATACGTCTTTGTGAAGTGCCTCAATACAAATTATTTCATTCACCTGATAAGAATAATAGTATTTCAATAGTCATAATGCAACTGCATATATTAAGTGTTGCTAGGTAGGGCAAGCCATAACGTTTGTCCAACTTGGCAAGAACTAATGTATGCAGTTCAGATTCTGTCTATTGAAATACTATTATTCTTACCAGGTGAATACAATAATTTGTATTGAGGCACTTTACAAAGACTTATGAATTAAATTTAGTTACTTTACGAAAGTGGCCTATTGTTACGGATAGAATGAGGAACTGTATATTTTGTCCTCTTTCTTTGTTCGTCACTTCCTGCATGCATGTATATCGTCGATCTGAAAGATTTCTAATTGTAGTCAACATGGCAGTTGAGTACGTTGACACGCATGATCAGTCGGCGTTCGACGTGTTCTCGTCCGCTCAATCTAAAAGTCCCTATTGTCAATGAACTGACACCAATAGGTCGGTTTACTAACATATTCAAATTGTATGCATACTGTGTGACGAAAGTTTGCTCCTGACCAACCCAAAAGCTTTCCCCAGGCTTGCCCCCACATAACAACAAGTAATGTATGCAGACTGCATTCTAACTACTGTCGTTTATTCATTAATAGCAGGCTAATGAATACCTCGTCACTAGGTCCCCAGGAAAGAAACATCCATAAATTTGAATATGTTAGTAAACCGGTACTATTGCTCACCATATCCTACATGGACCGTGACTTCCAGCTTTTAAAAAAGTTTCATGTTGTGTACAGCGTTGATCAATCTATTTACCCCTCATTTTACTCGAATCACGTCCACAAAGAATTTCGACGCCAAGACTTCAAAAACACAACCGAAGGCACTTTCAACAGTCTTGTCCATCGCCCATTGAAATAAACGACTATTGGCCTACTGTGTAATTTGAGCATGAATTCTCTACAATACTACAATAGAAATGGAATTGCACTTGAGTTGGTTTCTCAAAGTTCCTTGCGTTTGCGTCTTAAGGAGAAACTGGCGTTTTCCTTTTCTTTTCGATGACGATTACATTGTGTTGTTCTCCGAATCTCAAGTTCTGATTTTATAAAGGCACGAAATGTAAGGGGATGTGCTGACGTTGTTGGTATCACTTTTTAAAACATACAGGAATTTTTTGTATAAATGTAATGCTTCCTGGGAGAAATTGCAATTATTTGAATAATGTAATTAATACAGGAATTCATACAATTGTGTTTTGATATTCAGACTTTCTTTTTTTCCCATTTGGTCTAATAGCGCGATTACTCTTTAAATAATGCAATGGCTATTTTTACATGGCCTTTTCGTTTCTCGTTTCCAATAGTTCATGGGGTTTCACCTTCATTCATTTATCGGTTTATACATTACTGAAACATTTCCAAAAAATTCTTGCATGTACAACTCTGCTGTTCATTAAAGGCTTTTGCATACATGTATCTCACCAAGGAAAACTATACCATGACACACTCAACTGGTCAGAAATGAAATCGTAAAAGTACCAATATATTATATCGTATCTTTTCTTGTGTGGCATATTTTGTCGTGATACGAATAATGTATGCGCGAGCTAAACTAAACACTGTCTTGAATTCAACATGGGCTTACTTAAGAGTTAAATATAGCTGTTTTGGTTTTCTTGGAAATGCTATGACTTATGTTACGATAGCACGAAATCTTGGACCATCGTTTGAGCAGAGATGATCGTGATTGATGCATCCGACTGATATGTTACTAAGGCAACGAGATGGAGAAGTCTTATGACCATCAAACACGTCTTTCCACTTAAGAGATGCTAGTAATAATCCTTTGTGTTGATATTAGTTCACCAGATGCTAACGGTTTCATTTCTGTGCTATTTTTTCACTTCCCGTCTTCATGTCTTCTCTCTCTCCTCCCTCTCTCCTCCTCCCCCATCACCCTTTCTCTCTCTCTCTCTCTCTCTCTTTCCATATATGTTTTTATCTATCTGCCCTCTCTCTCTCTCTCTCTCTCTCTTTCCATATATGTTTTATCTATCTGCCCCCCCTCTCTCTCTCTCTCATCCTTTCCGCCGATCATTTGCCCCTCCTTTCTCAGTTCGCGTCTCACCCCCATTTTTTGTTTGTATATGAATGTCATGTATGTTTTTAAACACTAATAATGTATAAACAAGTATAAAAGGACACGCAAGATATGTGTCTCTTCTTTTTTTCTACAAATTATGTAGGAATCGGTTGATACTTATTCCCCTTTGGCGAGCATTTTCTTTGTCGTCGTTCTTAAACTTCTGACTACATGTTAATGCGTTATCGAAAGCTGTATCTTGCGTTATTTTTGATACCTTGCAATGATCTCTTTTCATCAATCCGACAGAGGTTCAGGCGCCTCATGATTTTAACCATGATCTGATGAAAGGTAAAACAAAAATACTTGATCGCCTTTAGAATACCGAGTCCAAAATGCTTATCGCAGGCTTGCCACAGGCATAACAAAAAGGAAGAAATAGAAGAAAAGCTAGTGTGCGAATACGCTTGATGTATTTCTTTTCCGACCTTCAAAACGACAAAGTGCCATCGTGTGTGCATCTTCGATTAAACGTGAAGACGGTGGTAAACAGAGCAACTGACCATTTGCCATTCTGACCTGGGGTGAGGTTTCATTTTTTGTTCTGTGTGGATTTTGATATTAGACAGGATTTCACAGGCACGCACTTCTGCGCATCAGAATCCGGTGCAAACTGCATAATGACATATTGCGGAAAATTACAAAGAATTTCTTGAGTTTTGTGGCATAAAGGCAATTAAACTGTCTCGGTAACATTGTTGAATGTTCATGAAAAAACTGAGTAATTTATGTATGGTATGTTACTTATTATATCCCTTCAACTGTACTAACCCTCTAACATGCAACAAATTCTGAAAAAAAATTATCAAAGATATTTATGGTTTTCTTTGAAGGCGTCACTGTGCGACACCCTCTAACAGTAAATTCTCTCAACAATTCAATGCTTTTCATTTACCTAAAAATGTAATTAAATTGTAATAATATAGTTAGGAGAATTAAGGAATCGATCAGGTCAGTTTTTTTCCAATTTGTATCATT